GGGGGGAAGAGGCGACGAGAACGGGATCCCCCGTTTCTTCGTATTTCGAGGACGTTGTACGTCCCTTCTATCGCGCGTATCATTCCGAAATAGCGCATCTTGCGAGACCACTTACTGCTCTCGCGCAAAATTTACCTCCTGTATCAAAGCAGATTTTAACACTAGAACAACCAATAAAGATTGTAATAATTTTTTGTTAATCATTCGAACTTATAAAGGTACAGTTTTTGAGATTTTCCGTGACTTTTGTTGCAACGTGTATATAATTAAATTGCTCAATTTACTTTTGCCTCCTTTATCTTTTTTTTTTTTTCAAGATATGTATTGTATATAGACCGTTTAAACAGTAGATTAATCGGTGATTCTAGTGTTAAAGCAAATGTTCACGCTAACGAATCACACGATCAATGCAACGACGCAAACGTCCGTTTGAAAAACGGGCGGAAATTCAAGCTTCTTTTAGTACGAACGCGTGTCCCCACGGACGAATTGTTGAGAGTATACACGAAGACAGGGCAAAAAATGGAAAGAGATCGGCCAAACGCCAAAAATAAGAAAAACGAAAAAAAAAAGAATCAAAAGTAATAAGTATAAATTTGTCCGAGAAGACACTAAAAGAATGTTCTTCGCATTCATTTCGCATATCGTAAAAATTTGCTCACGCGGCAACAGTTTGTTACTAGCCTTTAAGCACGGGACTTTTTTGAAAAGAGACATCAACTTTCTGGGACGTGGCGCATTTTTTATGTCAAGTCTTCAAATTCATGTCAATCCGTCGATGACGCGTGCGCTTTTCTTAATGTGGACGAATAGAAGATTCCTCTTTACTGGACCAGTTTGTGTATCTTATGACATATCTTGCGTTATACATCTATATATAATATAGATAATTTTCTCTGTATAGGATAATTCCTCCTTATATTTTTCTTTAATTTGTAAAGAAATTCTTATGTGAAAATAGTTAAAAAAAATCTTGCGTTGCGCAAAAAAAATTTCGATATAATTTAGCTCCGGCGGCTTCGTCTGTGCCTGTATTTTTCGTTGTTGTCTTGTGTAAAGCGTTGATCGGTGGTACTCAGGAGCATAATGTATGAATGGTGCACGTATTAAAGAAAAATACTATTGTACGAGGAAAAATCTATCGAGCGATAAAGAGGCACGAATCGCCGCAACGTTCATCGACGAATTTCTTCATATGAAAGTTTATGAATTCTTCTTTAATAGCAACGCAGTGCCAAACTATGTAATTCATGAAAAAAAAAATAAAAATAAAAGTCAAGTAGAAAAAATGTACAAATTAATCGTGGAAATTAATTTACAGTGTACAACAATCAGAAAATTTACTAACCGTTGGCTTTTTGCGAACTATAAAAGTGTGCGTAAGTGTGCAAAAATATTCTTGAGGTGTGTAAAACTCTCGTCTAATCATACATTTTATAATTTACAAGGTGATATCATGTTGAGAATTAAGTAGTAAAAAAAAAGTATTCAATAGCATGCAATTGGAACAAGCGTAGTATAAATTTTATTGCGGCATCTGGGATGACGCAAGGGTCTCGCGCAGCAATTTCCCCGTCCTCATTGTCCTGCTGTTGCACTATTTATTTCCGCACACACCCTGCCGATGGCTGCATCGGAACGAGATGCAATTTGCATATATGCAAGTAGGTGCAGCAACATTGTCGACCGTTAACTATCTGTGCCAGGACAGCGACGCGTATACGAGAAAAGGTTGCAGTTGCGTTTGCGCAACGCTCGTTACGAGACGGCGTGTATTTTAAATTAAGTCTCATTTATTTTGCACGTAGTCTTACATATCTTTACACACAGCTCGTACTGATCTACACGAAAGGGCGCCGCGGAATATTGACAATCTTAGCTTTCCCGAAGATGCCGCGCACGCGAAGACCTGATGGACTAAGATATTATACGTCTATAAGGCTCGCTTTATATCTGTAACGTCCGTCAGAAATCAAACGTTTAGAAATTCCCCGTTGAATAAATATCTTTTTTTTCTTGTATAATATATAAAGGTATTAAATTTGTCCAACTTCGCGTGTACGGCAGATATGATTGCGCAGGTGACCCGACGTCAGCAACGAGGATAAGCTTTTGCGACGGGCTCGCAGCAGTATAAAAAAAAAACAACAACTATGGAAGAAGAGAGAACGCTGCGACTCTTTCGGATTCACCAGCCGCTCCTCGGCCGGTGAATCCGCCGAAGAATCGCGCTATTTCTTGGATCACGACGCGAAAGAATCGCGGTGCTTTGGGCTCGGATCTGTTACAATTGCTCTACGACAGAGCGGAGTCGCGGAGAAATCTTAATCCGCACAAATGGATGCGATTATCATTAATCAAAGGCCCCTTCGAGCGTTATCACAAGTAGAGAGGAGAGTGCGGCGCGCCGAGCTGTGAAGTCAGCTCTCTCGCTCGCGGCAATCGAGTCCTTCCTTATTTAGAGCGCGATATACGCGGAATGTCGTTACTGCAAATTGGCAAGTCGATACTCTTCTCCGGGCTGCGAGATTATTATCTTCGCATACGCGAAATAACGTTCGCGTGATGGCGGCTGACGTGAACTACTGCGGTCACTTCCGCCGTCGAGTTTCGATTCGATCATCAATCTTTTCGAAGTGTAGCGGTCGCGGGTAATCTCGACTAGCGGCGGCCCGCGGGAGAAGCGGGACCGGCTTCCCCGGATAGTTACGCAGATAGCACTGTACGCGCGCGACCACGACTAATCTACCGCGAAATAATCTTTCAGTCAACCGGCCGACTCGATCATCGGTTCCGGTCACGAATTAAAGTACCGTCTCACAAATCGCGATCTCGAGTGGCTCTGCAAGCGACTCTTGCAGGTCACTCTTATAGGAATCGGTAATTCGCAAAATCGAATGTCGCGACGCGTGTACATGACGCGCGTCGAGTTTTGACCACCAATCTTGACCACCGTCGCAGTTATCGTTTTCACGCAAAAGTCTCTCATGAGGTCTTTTCTCGTGTCTTCGGAGAGATCGGAACGCCGTTCTTAGGTGCGGTGAGAGGACCGAGATCTTTTCGTGTACTTCTTCCTCTCGGTAACGATACGTCAAACGGCCCCGTACTCCTCGCTCGACGGCGACTCGTCGCTGGCCGATGGCCTGGGCGGCCTGGGCGGTCGCGGCGGCCGATGATGGTGCAGCGTGGGCGCCGGTCGTCTCGGTGGCGGCGGTGGATGCACGCCGTAAGACGTCTCGTCTCCCTCCTCGCTGCTGGGCGACGGCGAGGGCGCTCGATCCTCCTGCTCCTGCAGCAGCTGCCGGAACTCCTGAATCGACTCATTCAAGGACCACAATTGCGACAACAACGAGAGATCCAATTGCCGTAAACCAAACTGCAAATGCGAAAATAATTATTGTAATATTAAATACACTGACAACTGGCTAAGAATGAAAAAGAGATTGTGGTATTGCGATAGACGCGCATCAAAAGTGATATTTATATGTATTTGTCTCTTGACAAAAAAAGACGCAATTAAAGTCTATTGTTCTGTGACTTTGAAAACTGAATTGAAAAATTTTATAGCATCTCGATTTCCGATTAGAAATAAATGTATAAAGTACTTGTAATGCCATTCCTTACATAAATCGTATTCAAAAGAAAATTGACTTTAAAATTACTAAAGAGATTCTATAATCATCAGATTGTTAAAGATTGTTATCGAGAGATTCTTCACTAAAGAGATTTTATCATCATCATCATTTTCCGTAACCCCCGTGACTCTTCTCTATTGCTCGCTACCGTGAACTGCTGCGAAATTTCACATAGGGCTCGACGTACAAGTCGGTGGGACGCATTCACTTTTACCATACGGTCGCCAAGGTAAATGTTACCTTCGTGATTTACGGACTGAAACGACGCATTTCCAAGCAGCACGGCGCGGCGGCCGCCTGGCCGTGGGAACTGATGAAGAGGGAGTTGTGTAGGAGAGACGTGCAAAAGGAGAATGGAGGAGGAGAATACGAGAGACGCGAGCGGACAGCGCGACGGAGGAGAAACGGGGCTGACGGAGAGGGACGACCGACGGCGAAGAGCAGAAGAGAGGAACGAAGGTGAAAAGGAGCGAGCGAGGGAAAAGCGGGGTAACGGAGGAAGAGTTAGAGTCTCAGCGCCCGAGGGAATGTGGCGTGGGAGCGGCTGTGCCAGTTCGCTTCCCGTGTGTCTGGATTGACTATTAAATTATTAGCCTAACTTAGATACGCGAGTCGAGATGTTGACGCGAACGGAGAGAGAGAGAGAGAGAGATCCAACAAGAGGGATATCCAACGTCACGAGAGCTCTTCGCCTCCGCGGAGAGATCCTACTCGAGATACCGTTACAGTTAATTTCGGGAAGATTGCGGCGCGATGCGAACTGTGGTCGGCGTGATACGGCAATAATTTTATACGAGACGAATATGTAAGCGGGAGAGATCGCTGATGGGTCAACAGGACGCACGGAGAGAATCTCGTTGCGAAGCGATGACAAGATTATTGAGCCGTTCAACGAGATGTGCGCGGCGAGAGGTTTTCCCGTGATTTTATTTGATATAAACACAGTCAGTTAGAATCTTTAATCGTTAATCGAGACGCAGAGGAACGTACGGCGTGTAACTACCAGGCCAGACACGTGAAGTATGTTTGCGCAGCAAACTTGCAAGGTAATAGCTATTAAAAAGCGGAGCCTCCGCACGGCTGAGTGATATAAGCGCGTCCTGTCTTTCTCTCTACCGCGGTATGGTACTCCGGTTTTCCCTCGCCGCCGCGCCGCTCGCACGCCGATCCCACGCACAAAGTACACGCTCATCGCGCGCGCCGCAATTTACTCACACGCGATTCGCGGCCTCGAGGTAACGGGTCGTCCAGGTCGCCCAAACAAACGCGGAAGGCTCGGGAGAGAAAGACAGGAGAGCAGGCAGAGGTTGGACAACGACAACTGAGTGGAAAATGACGACGGTTCGCGGAACGTGCTTGGACTGACGACGCGACATCGAGAATAAGGGGAGTGGCGAGGATCGCAATTCACAATGAAATGGGGAATACGAAAAAAATGTCTCCAAGTAGAAATCAAAGACAAAGGACGACAGAAAAGGAAAAATATGCGGAAGAAATAAAATTACAAAAACGTAGAAAAAAATGACATAAAGACAGATAACGTAGAAACAATAAAAGAAAAACAATAGAAAAATATCGAAACAAGAAATAAAAATTATGAAACATAACGGAGAGAAATAAAGCTAAGAGAGGAATAAAAAAATATTTTAAAGACAATCTGTGGCGTGGAGAAACGGGAGTCGCGAGAACAATCTGCAAACATGCTTCCGTTCGGATCGACGGAAAGCGGAAGAACCTCGATGATCGCTCTTAAATCGCACGTGCTTATTGCACGCGGAGGCGTGGAATTTTCCTGCGTGTCCGTAAATACGTTTCGCGCTGCGGTAGATGACTAATGGTTTCTATTGGACTTAATGGCTGCCGTTATGAAATGCACAATTTCAGACACCAATTTGAATCGCATCGACAATTTACCGACCGTATCTCGGGGGTGATGCAGCTACACGCGCCGTAACGTACAACGCGATCCGAGTATTTTCGTAATCCAAACTTTCGATTATTCACTCCTGATCAATTGCTTCGGTCGTCTAACAATCGCATCCGCGATTAAAAATATTACGCGCAAAATAAACCCGTCACCGTTAAAAATCATAGAAAAAAAATCAAGATCCCGATATTCCGCGAGCTGGTTGTTGCGGCACTACATTTCGCGGAATATCGAGGAACATCGAGGGATAGCGATCAAAGTAACAAGACTGCATTCCGCGACGTTGGCGGGGAAGCGAGAGAGTGAAAACGATCCACGGACAAATACCATTTCTCTCCTGAGCACCGCCAGCTGGGTATCCAGGGTGGTGAGCTGTCTGGCAGGTGGCGACGGTCTCGATGTCGACGATTGCAGCGGCGTTTTACCGCCTCTTTGGGATTTACTGGACGATCTTGTGGGCGGTGGAGGCGGCTCGCCGATCTCGCCGCGTCCGCCGCTCAGGTTGAAGCCGCTCAGGCTCCTCGGTAACGGGGGTAATCCTTGCAGGGAAGACATCGCGATCCTTTCTTGTATACTGGAACATACAAACGCGAGGTTCTTATGTAATTTATATTTTCCACGGAACGTGATACTCGGCGTTTCGATTTAGAACAGCAGAACAACGCAAAAGGGATTTTAGTGATAAAATTGAGAAGCTAATATTTAACTTACTAGGGGCTAATTATTTACCGTTAAATATATTTAATATTATAGTTATAAATATGTAATGTATTTATATCAATAACTTAATATATTATCCCTAAAATAGGATATTTTAATTGTTATAAGCTGGTCTTGTTTCCCGGCTGTGGTTTGTAAAATAAAAATAGAAGCGCGAGTGGAATCCACGAGGGGGATGAATTTAATAGTTTCACGATACCCCGCGGGAAAACTTGTGCGGGTCGAATGGTCTTCTCCCGCAAACTGCCGAAGGCGGAGTACGATGGAAGCCGCAGGAAATGGGGATACCGTTACACGATCATCTTATGGAATAAAAATCGATCTGTCTTTATAAGTGTCGGCCGCCCGCGGTCAAGAAGGCGGGGGATTTGGCGAATGACTCACTTTGCCCTGCGGTTATTATCATCGCGTGCACATCGCGGAAGTGTGCGATCGCTCAATCGTTCTTATCGACATCGATATCCGTTCGGCTCGGCTTGCTCTCGCCTCGTCTTATTTTCCGCCGAGCTGGGATGAGATCAATTCCCGATACCGCTGACAAGTGCAACGATACCGATCCGATAGCGGCTTATAGAGAGCGATATCGGTTTTAACGCAATTTTAAAAAGTCGCCGTTCTTAATAAATTTCTCGTCGATTTGCACCGTGAGAAAAGAAGCAGCCGTATCTCGAGAATATTACTTTTCCTTCTTTTTTTCGTAGAATTCATTAAATTCTTTAATTTGTATAAAAGTATGCACAATGTTTGTATAACTGCACGTTTACGTGCGCATAAATGCTATATAACTTCCGAAAGGCCAGCGTAACTCGTGAATTCTTCTGGATTTTATGGCTGAGAAAATTAAGAGCGGTTCGAGGACTTTCAGTGGAGGACAAAAAGAAAAAAAAGGGAGCCCGAACGTTTTTTTTAACGTTAGTTACGCTAACGAGCAGTTGGTTTTTATGACCGGTCGACACGGCATTTATCGCGAGAAAGCGCGGTGCACTCGTATCGGCGGATCGTTGGATTCAGATCAATCCGCGTAACAAAGTGAACGTAACTCCGTAATCATATCGCAACCCCTCGATAATTAATATATCGTTAACACCGGCGACGTTACGTCGTCGAATGTTACTCTGTAACGAACCACACGGCATTACAGCAATGTCTCCATCATGCGCGTTATTCCGTGCGCTGCACCCACAAAATAAGAGCATCAAAACTGACTTGAAGGAAGGCAATATTATACTTCCCATTACGAGCAATCTCTTAAAAGTCACTTATACAAATAATTTATTCCATCGATAAGAAACTTTCGAATTTATATTACTTGGCGAATTGAAAAAAAAAAAGATTCTCATTCGCGTATTGCAATTTAATGGCACCGAAGATTATTTTAATATCCACGATTGCGCGAGCAAAGCTCTCCGAGCGACATCGCGATTGCGGTCTACCTGATGAAATCAAGATCAGTGATTCTCTCCTCCTCGCGATGATCGTAACCGTTGATCCGATCCCTGTCGACGGTGTCGTCGTCGTCCCCGTGCAGCGTGATCTGCGTGGAGGAGTAACGGACTCCGGCCTCCAGCCAGTCCTGCCGGTGGATATTGTTGTCGCTGTCGTTGTCGTTACTGTCCTCCTGGTCGCTGGGCGCGATTTTACGCTCTGGTTCGTCGACGACGAGCAGCGTGGTGGCGGCGGCGGCGGCGCGGTCAACGCTCGGGACGCCCGTCGATCTCTCGATCGAGGCTGGAGTCTTGACACCGCCATTCCCGGCGGGCTTTTCACTCGTCGCGAGCGCTTCCTGCTGCTGCAATTGTTGCTCACCAGGACACAACCGGCACGTGGGCGTCGACCGGGCTCTCTCGTCGCGCCCGTCCGCTCTCTCAGGATCGCCGTTGCATTTTTCCGCGTGACTCACCATGACTCGCCCGCCGGCGGAATCCGGACTCGAGGACGAGGCACGACGCGCGTCTTCGAAGGACACGTTGACAGCTCGAATGGCCACCGGTGACTTCGTCGTCGTCGTCGTCGTCGTCGTCGTCGTCGTCGTCGTCGGTGCAGTTTCGAATTTCTCCGTCGAGGTGATACTATTCTCTCTTTGCTGATCTTTACCGAGCAAATCTTTGCATCGTTCACGATACGATAGATTGTCGGCCAGGTCTTTCCCGCGGGAGTTTCTTCGGATCTCCTGTAGCCTGCGTTGCGGCCGTTGATCCTTGGTCAGGCTGTTGCGCTTCCGCACGATGTTCACCGGGACGTTTCCCGTGGAGTAAAGCTTTTCCGAGCCGGTGCCGGGTCCGCGATGTTGATCGTGAGACGAGATAATCTTGCCCCCGTTCTCCGACCTGTCCTCTACATTTCTGTCCGTACCGCGCGCCTGATTGCGATCCCGCTGATTTCTGTCGTTGGACACGCTCTCGTCCTTCGCGCACTCCTTGAGGGACTCGTACACGATCGTGCGTCCGCCCGTTGCAGGGTCCACCTGTTGCTGTTGCTGCAGTTGTTGCACTTGTTGCTGATCGGATCTCCAGGGCTTCGTGTTCGGCGGCGGTGGTGCCTGCCTGGTAGGACAGGGCGGCCTTGGCGATCTCTTGAGGGCCTCGGCAACCACCTGCCGACTCGGCCGAGGTGGCACCGGAGGCGGATGAGGCCTCTGACTCGTTGCCAGCTGCATTCCGCTCGCTTTTTCTTCGCGCCGTCTAATCCAAGCGGTTGCTCATCCTCGATGACGACACACTTATACGTGCGGCGCAAAACAAATTTCAATTTTTCAGCCAACTAACTGCCACACTCCCGACTCGCGTTTACGTCAATAAATGCGAAAAAATAATGTGCAATTACTAAACACGATACTAAATGTCAGTGGTAACACGAGGTACCTTCATCTCGCGCGAAAGAGGCGAAGATTACATTCCGTTCGAATTTTTCTGAAGATAAGAGGCGACGTTTCATCATCCTTATCGCTCGTGTCTGTCTATTGCGGGCCCACGGAATGTGAGAAACGCCGTGAATTAACTCGGAGCGAGCGAGGCGTTTCGCGGGGCTTGGTAAAATCTCTCCGCGTCAGCGCGATGTTCCGTCACCCGCAAAATTCCTCGGACGAGGAATCTCGTTGCGTTGCGATTTTATTATTACTGTAGCGTATCGCCCGCGGCGTATTGTCAGTCGCAGACGAATATAATAGCCGTTGCGCGTTGATATATCTCTATGTAGAATCTGCCCGCAGATGCCCGGAGGTATGACTTGCGAGACGCGTGCGCCGCGTTTCTCGGAATTTCTTATTCGCTTTAAAACACGCACCGCACGCGGACGGGCATGCGTTTAAATGCCGATCGGAGATGACGGGAGTGTTGTGCAATGACGTCGCCACATGATTCCCGCGCACGGCCGTGTTGCGCCGCAGCGAAAATCAACCGCAATAATCTCGCGCGTATATGCGCGTCCGTGCAGCGTGTACCCTCGATTCCTCGCCGTTTCCTTCTCTTTCGCCTCTTCTCTTTCGCTTCTTCTCCCCTCGAGTCCACCACCTCGTCCTCTTTATTCGCGTAAGCGGGTCGCGATCGCGCCGATGCCGCGCGATATCGCCGACGCGATTTTGCATACAATTCCGCGCGGGAGCCACGAAACGCACGTTCGTTCGCGCTCGCCAATAGCCTCATGCGCGACGCGATGCCTTCGATTTCCCAGATCCCTCTTCGCTCGCTCGCGATCGAGCGACGATCTCGCAAGGAATCTCGAGGCGACCACGTCTCGTAAAATTATTCCTCGTGCACATCAATTAAAGCCTCAACAAGCCAGCTCAGATTTTCGATACAGAGATTCCGCTTCGCGCACATTCCATTCCTGTTCCTCTCTCTCTCTCTCTCTCTCCCTCTGTTCAGGTTGTCATTGAAGCTGATCTCCGAGATGACGTTACGGCCTCGATAGTCGCCTTTCTATCTCGATCGCTCGAGCTTTCCTTCCACGAAGAGCGCGGCGAGCAGACCCGGCGAACTCGCTGTTCTTTGTGAACGAATGCGGTAACCTGACTTGCCGCGTTTTGCGAGTATAAACTTTCTATCGCATACCGTAATTCACATTGCGCGCCAAACATTCGGCGATCCTATCGAATCCGACCTCTTTTCTTGTCTGAAGCGTATTAAAATTTATTTGAAAAAATTCGGCAATTAAATTTCCTCATAACTATATAAAACTTCTTTATTCTTCCTTCATTGTGGACAAAGGAAGAGAGGTAGAAAAACTTTCAGTTGCAAGGACCGAGAACTTAAATTCGTGTATTACTCCGAATAAAGGAAATCCGACATCTTCCTCGATTCAAGCCACTCCGCGAGTCTCTCAAGCAGTCACTTCCGAGCCTCGTTTGACGTCACACATCGCGCGTCTTCCACGTTTCAGTGCACCGAAAAACGTCGCCACGACCCACACTTTCTAATGCACAACCAAACTGGCAACCTTCGTCTCTTCGCCGAATTTCCTGCTACAATTAAAACACTATTGATCGCTGGCGTCACGATCGCGCGTCGACGAGATGCCGGGAAAAGCCTCCTTTCTCGACCCGAGACCTCTCACTCCCATGATAATGGGTCGCCAATAATCGCGAGGAACACTTTGAAAACGTCGGTGAAAAACCACGAGGAATATAAAAGCCGAAACGATCGCGCACCGAATGCCTTCGGACAGGTAGAGCTAGAGCGGCGACGATCCCGAGACCCCAGGCGGTATCCCCGAGAGATCCAGTATCTCTCCTCCTCCGTCCCGTCTCCTCTCCCTTCTTCTCGTCCACCCGGTCGCACTTCTATCCTCTCTTTCTCGACGGACCGACCGCCGCGGACTGACTTTGCGGTCCCACAAACATCCTTCGCGATCGGTGGCCACGTGACTGGTCGAGCTCGAGTTCTCGTCAGGTAGTCAACGAGTGTGCGCCTTGCGCGTGTATGGATATGTATGTGTAATGTATGTGTGCGTGTGAGCGAACGAGCGAGCGAGTGGGTGAGCAAAGGAATGAGCGTGCGAATGAGTGAGAGAGTGAGTTAAACGAGTGAGTAAGCGTGCCTAGGTGTGCGTACGTGTGTGTGTGTGGAAGACACAGAGGGGAACCCGGAGAGAGAGAGAGAGAGAGAGAGAGAGAGAGAGAGAGGCACAGAGGCGAATGCAAAGAGGACCTGCGGTTGACGGCGATGGTGAAGGTTCACCACCGCGGTCTCGTGGCGATCTCGGCATTGCTGATCACGATGATGTGTGAGTTCTTGGCCTGGTAGGAAAAACGGCTCGGATCGCTCCGGCGCATTACGTAAAATCGGCAGGTCTCAGGGGGGAAAAAGCGGTTGCCGTTCTAAACTTTACGGAATAGTCGCGGTCACACTTTCTAGCGTCGTTTAAGGCGCTTGCGAGGTTTCTTCTCTCGGGGATGCCTGCCGCCTTTCCGCGTGATATTTTCACGGCGCGCCACACGATCTCCTCGGCGTCGTCTAAATTGATCCCGTCTGATCGTTCGAAGTGTGCGTCAAAAATGAGGGAGTATCAGTTTCAAGAGGAAAATTTAATTTGGTTGTCGCGAATATGCACAGAATTATATGGCTTACATTTTATCGTAATATTACACGGTCGACGTAAAGCATTTTCACGGGACTCGCTCGAACGGATTCAATTATGCAGCAGCGCGTCCTAATTACATAGACGCATTCGCCCGAGATTGTTTAAGTTTATGTAAGCCGATTTCGCCGCGATTCCACGGAGTTACGGAGGCTCGCGCTGTACACTTCACGGTACACGTCACATATCGTTTCGTTTCTTTACATCATATATTCACCGTAGCAGTTAATTAGCCGCGAATGTGCGTTCATTTCGAAATACGCATTATTCGCATCGACGCCGAATGCAACGGCGATCTGCGATAAACGTAAACTTTCTAGAGTTCGTGAGGCATAAAGGCGCCTTATCGATCACATCGGTTTTCCGTGCTTCGGCGGAGCACGAAACGTCGTTATGATTTTTCACAAAAGAGATAAACGCGGGGTAAAGAATGCACGTAAAAGATCGCATATAAAATGATCTCGTAGGAGCGCGACGAAAAGGACGCGATAATGAAACTTGACGATGCGATCGTTCGCATGGAGGATTCGCGAATTAAAAAGGCTTAAAGGTCGCGAATTAAAAGGACTCAGACTGACGAGAGTTAAAAGGACTAGGAGTCACGAGTTAAAAGGCCTACTTTGTTTAAAATAAGGACTACAGAAATCGCGAATTAAAAGGACCAGGAGGCAGTTACGAAACTCGAGTCCCTGGCCTCGGAGCCAACCATCATCTCCGGGTCCGTCTACCTCCAGCGTCGGGTGTAGGTGTACATCGCGACCGGTGGTATCGCCGTGGTATCGCGTGAGAGAGTAACCCGTAGCGGACGAGGCGAACGGGACGCAGGAGGGAAGAGAAAGGAAAGGATTATCGAAGGAAGAGGCGAACGGAGCGAGACGGCGAAAAGGGAAGGGACCCATTAGATCCCCTCCCGCCTCGCTGTCCTCCGCAATGGCACGGAGGTCCGTTCGCCAGTGCCGTAGCTTGCGCGACGTTTATTCCCGAGCTTCCTCCGTTCATTCCACTTTTCTTTCTCTTCCCCTACGTTTCGAAGATTGCGGAAAGAGGAGATTCCAGAGAAGCGTGATTATACAGCTCTTAACTCGCGCAATTCCTCTTAACGAAGCGCGATTTCTCTCTTTTAAGTCACGCTCAAGTCTATGATCGACGCGATTTTACGACGGGGGGTCTTAAAACCGGAGTTTTTTTTTCCCCTTTGAGCCGTTACACGGAGAGAGATATGCATCTCGTTCGGAGCAATCGGTCACGATTCTAGAATTACTCCTCGGATGTTTCACAAACGTTTTCTGTCTCTCGAGCGAATAAGCGAGAATCGAGAGACGGAGATAAGATACGAAGCGGTATCGTTGCAGACGTCGCGCGTGCACCTCGAAATGAAGTAACCGCCGATGATACGCGTTATCGGCGCCGCGATCAACCGCCGCCGCCGCCGCCGCCGCCGTCGCGTATCACCCGTCCATTCACGGCGTAATTAAGGCCCGAGGAAGTGGCGCACGGCCGGCCGGCTGGGAAAACCGCGCGCGGGCCTCGGAATTTATTCACACTCTGTTTCGCTCTGGCTCAGGCAAAAACTCGACTCGTTCCACTTTTGCGACCGATCTCCCGCCGATAAAATGCAAATCGATATTTCCCCCCCTCCCGTGCGGACGCGCGGTCCGCGCGGCCGGTTCCTAGACCGGTCGAAATCGGATCGTGGCCGTGCATATATATCTGCGTGTCACTCGAAGACGTTCCCGTCCGTCCGGACCGCTACCGCGCAACGCGGCCGTCAAAACAAAATTCGATTACTGGGTCACGGGGTTTCGCGAAGTGCACGATCGAGAGACCTCGAATGCCAATGCCAGTCGCGAGTATACATGTCTGTGAACTATATTTGTTAACTAGTACGCAGAGAGAGTTCGAGAGACGTTTTTTTTTAAATATCCACGCGCGTATTACATAAGTATGACAGGCAATCTCTTTGCGCGCGATGTCTTTTATTGCTTAAGTCGTATCAATTAATTTTTTTTTTTTTTTCAAACGCGATACTTTTAACGATCCTGCTTTTGTTCTACAACTCACGGTACTAAACTGGACAGCCACTCTTCAATTGTCGTCCGTTGAGAATCATACATAATTTTCTCGGTATTAAACATGACTGGCGTGCTATTTTTGCAATACGTATACTTTGACCACGTACCGCGTCGAAAGGAGTCGAGAGCGGCTTTCCGCTCTTTTCGCAATCATAAATAATTCAGCCCTCGCGGCTCGAGACGTGAACGTCAAATTGACTCGCAAAATCGGCGGGATAAAGCGACGCGTTGAAAATAGCGCGCCTCGCGCTGTTCGCAACACGTATACGTTCGTCGCTGCCCGATCCGACTTTTCCCTTTACCCATCCACTCCGCGCTCCGCGTTAAACTCCATTAAGCTCCGCGCGCCGCCGGAGTTTCCTCGCGCGCGCGATTATGTGTCGGCAGAAACGCAATTCCCGCGATTAAAGCCAGAGAGAGAGAGAGCGAGAGAGAGATAAAAAAAAGAGAGAAGGGGTCTCTCCCCCTTCCTGAGCTCGCCCGGCGACGACGCGGTGGGACCGCAAACGGGAGAATGGATTATGCGGCGTGGCGGCGACTATTACGTTACGTTCTCGAACACGCGCGAGCCACTGACTCGGCGCGTATCACGTCGGATACGACGACTTATTAGTGATTCAACGTGCCTGCGCGTCGCCCGCAGCGGCGGGCAGATACCTAATAGGCGGAGAGAAGAGCGGCCGATCCTCGGTCGCACGACGCGCCCTTTGAACCGGAAACGTCCTCTTCGTCGCGGAGAGATCGGAGTGTTGCGATTGCGGAGGTCGAGGGGCGTCCAAATTTACGCTGAACGGTGAAGACTCGATCGTCAGATATGATAATCAAGCGCCGTGCATCGCGTTCGTTTTATTATACAATTCCTCTCCCGTGACTGCACGTTTTTGCGTGTATGACGTGCGTTTTACGCGCTGAAAGAGAGAGAATTAATCGCACCGCGCTACTGAGGTGAAAATTCCGAATGGAATTCGGAATGAAACGTAAAGATTTTGGATGGTATTCGGCCAGGTGACGGTGTGTCAGACCGGTCGCGAGCGCGCACGAGAATGCACAACTGGTTGTCGTACGGCAGGCGGGCCTAATCGACTTGGCGGACGGACGACTCTAGATAAGCTTCTAAATTTAGCTGCACGAACGCATTCTCCCTTGGAAAACGTATAAGTCATCCGTATGGAATCTACATGTAGTATATTAATCTTGTTACACATTTTACGGTAAATAGGACGCTGGGCGACGAATTGATTGAAAAAAATAACATACTATAAATAAATAAAGATGCCACGAAGAATTATTGACATCTGCTAGCTACTTGATCACTTTTGATAATTTTTCTTAACAGATTTAGAGTCGAAAATCCGAGTTTACGTGAGCTCGCGAGGTTCAGCAAAAGAGACTCATGTTACACAGACTTATTTAGATTGTACAGATTTAGTTTTATATTACAGCGATGTCTTCCTTCCAAAACGACCGATTCAAAACGATCCTATTCACGTCCCGAGTCTCTTCAGAGGGGAAACCTCGCGAGCCGGTAAAGGGACAAAAGAGGCACAGCCAGGCGCTCGTTTACCTGATCACTCGCTGCGTGCTGACACCTGCGGGCCCGCGGGGCAAGCGGCGGCGGTTACTCCTTGAACTTCCACTCCTGGCGACACATCGGGCACATGTGGTTGGTCTGCTGCGAGTGCAGCCACTTCATGATGCAATGTATGTGGAAACAATGCGAGCACTGCCCCCACACTGGAAAACGAAAATGACGACGTTCGAGCGAGCGGTTAAATTAATTTTCGTGTTTCGGCCGTGGGACGACGGCGGACCCGGCGGACGCGTCGGTCGGTCGGGCGCACCTGGCCCGGCGGCTGGGCGGCGAGGGTTGGGTGGCAACGACGACAGGGCAGAAGGACGGACGCGGCGGACGTGCGTGCACGCGTGTTCGCCGCGCATCGATAGCCGAGGGTGCCCCAGAGCGAGGGTGAGGGACAAGCGGCGCCTGCCAGCCGTTGCGCTAGTCCGCCGGTCGACGGCACGCGTCGATCGATATCGCGCGCCGTCGCGGACGCGGCCTCTCTCGCCGCGGCGGCATTTTATGACTTTTGGAGTAAGAGCCTGATGGAAGAGCCTTGCGTCCACGATGCCAGAAATCTCTCCCGAGATCTCGGACGGAGAAAGGGCCGACCAGTCGCGCAGTGGTTAATTAGCTAAATTATTCAAATGTGATGTATTAATTTCTTCTCCGTCCGAGATTTTGGAGCAATTTCTAGCGTCGCAGACATGAGGCGTAAAAGAGAGTTTCTCTCTTCGTTTCCGTTTTTCTTTTCTAAAAAGTTGTCAAGGAATTACTCGATAGCACTAATAAAATCATAGATATAAATGCAAATATAATGTGTTACTACTTGAAAGAATTTCTGATCTTCGTTTCTATTTTTCGTTTCTAAAAAATTGTCAAGGAAATATTCGATAGCACTAATAAAACCATAGATATAAAATGCGTTTCTGTTTGAAAGAATTTCTGATCTTCGTTTCTATTTTTCGTTTCTAAAAAGTTGTCAAGGAATATTCGATAGCACTAATAAAATCATAAATTTAAATGCAAATATAATGCGTTTCTGCTTGAATTTCTGATCTTCGTTTCTATTTTTCGTTTCTAAAAAGTTGTCAAGGAATATTCGATAGCACTAATAAAATCATAAATTTAAATGCAAATATAATGTATTCCTGTTTGAAAGAATTTCTAATCTTCGTTTCTATTTTTCTTTTCTAAAAAGTTGTCAAGGAAATATTCGATAGCACTAATAAAATCATAGATATAAATGCAAATATAATGCGTTTCTGTTTGAAAGAATTTCTGATCTTCGTTTCTATTTTTCGTTTCTAAAAAGTTGTCAAGGAATATTCGATAGCACTAATAAAATCATAAATTTAAATGCAAATATAATGTATTCCTGCTTGAAAGAATTTCTGATCTTCGTTTCTATTTTTCTTTTCTAAAAAGTTGTCAAGGAAATATTCGATAGCACTAATAAAATCGTAAATATAAATGCAAATATAATATGTGTTCCCGCTTGAAAGCATGTTAGGAGAGAGATATATTATTTTCGACCCTTTTGGAGTAAGTTCTCTCTTTTTTTTTTAAAGGATGACCGTAGATGCAATCATAAGCGTTAAGAAAATAATAAAAATCGTAAAGTTCACTTGGTTCTTTGGCAAAACATCGCGGAAAAAAAGAGTATGCATCTCCGAATACCTAATGGACAGTCGTCTCCGGGGATCTTGCAATCTGGACAGCTGGCGTCGAACGGCATCCTGCATATGCCGCAGTTGTCGTCGTTCGCGATCCATCGCCAGGTGGCAACACCGGTCCAACCTGAAGAGAGAAATAACCTCGTAGACGTCGATCTACGTACGTACGAACGCCTCGCGGCCGGGAAAAGCGCATAACGAACGAACGGGTAACGTCGGGCCGTGACATAACCACGAAATTGAGAGTTTTGCGACGTGTCGCGTCGATCGCGCGGAATATACGTGGCACACGACAGGGCGAACGGCAAGATAATTTCGTTGTACGTCGCTCGAAATACTTGTACTTACTCTTTATCGTTACCTTCATCTCGATAATTGGGGTCAATCTCTCGGACGATGAAACGCGACGCAACGGTCGACCGCGAGTCGCGACTCGAGCGACTTCCCCGCGATCTCTCCGCGGCTCTCCGATAACGTGGCTTCGGCGCGCAAATGTATTTGGTAGAAACACCTGTTTCTATGTCGTCATAAAACGATCCTCGACCTCCTCGATTGACTGCAGTCAGTCTAGCTGACGGCGAAACGCGAAGCGATCAGCAGGGCTGCGCCATCTTAAGATTTTCAAATCGCGATTCGACCGTGCGTGCGACTCGATCCCTGGTGCTTGTAGAAGTGTAGAACTCACTTCAAACGACTAGCGTCGTCTTTTCAGAGATAAATTCCCTTTTTTAATTTTGTGTACTGTAATATGGAAAACATTTAAATAAATGTACACATTTCAGATATACACATTTAAAATACACATTTAACATGTGTGTCAAAATGAAAATAATATATTGAGAAATAAAGATATAAGATTTTGGACGTCTGATTTTCTTAAAATTTATATACTTTCCTGTCTCTATATTTAATAAGTAAAATATATATAAAATTATTTCAAAAATTATTTGTCTTTATTCGTAGCAACGGAAAGCGTCAACCAGCATATTTTTTTTATATCCGAATTCAGTACTACAGAATCTCCATAGTGTTTCGTTTCCGCTTGGTGTAGAAATGATTTTGGAATTTATTCGCGACAATGGATCAGATACCTCCAATTGACGCATTTCTTTATTTTTTGTTGCCACACGCAGGAATTGGATTCAAAAATTCCGTCGCTTTCAATTCTCGCTTCAGAACGCAAAAACAAATACTTACGATGATTCGCCGTCGTTCGTTACGACAGAAATAATTGGCGTGACGGCATCGGCGTCACGCAAAACACGCTAATCAATCTCCCCTCCCGTCGCGTATCTATTATTTCCGAAAAAGCGGGAGGTTGATTGGCCCGCGCGCATAGATGCGCATTTTCCGCGTCTATTGCGCGTCGAAAGTCACACGTCGCACATCGCGCCGATGGCGCCGATATACCGAGAGCGCGCATTATACCGTACCGTCGGTTTTCATCCGTGATCGTGGCGCGGCGCGACGATAGCGATCGAGTGAAAATCGCGGCTCTCGTCCCCGACGGCGGGCTCATCGCGGGCGGAGGGAGCGCGGCGCCGCTGGTCGGCCACGGTACATACGTACGGTGCGCGTCGCAACGCACTCGCAACACGGCCAGAGTAGCAGCGAGAGCGGGCGGCGAGGAGGCGGAGGTGCAAAAGGAGGAGAAAGAGAGTGAGAAGCTGAAAGAGAGAGAGAGAGAGAGAGAGTGAGTGGTCGCTGCCGTCGCTGGCGGCTTTCGTCGTACGGTGATGCGAGAGTGTGCGAGAGGACCCCGCGCAACGCCGGGTAACGTCCACTAGCGGAGCGGAGTGAACGCGCGCCGGACGGAGTCGGCGAGCCCGACGTGGCCGCCCGTTACGAGTCTCTGTGCGTGGTTCTTTCTGTCAGAGAAGTCGTGTGTGCCGAAATGCTCGACGGTATGACGAGCCTGACACGGGAGTCGTAGATCGGTCCTCCTCGTCGTCGTCGTCGTCGCCGCCGCCGCCGCCGCCACCGCTGCCGTCGTCGTCGCCACCGCTGCCGCTACCGCCGCCGCCGCCGCTAACAGTCGTTGCGTGCGTGCGTGCGTGCGTGCGTACGTGCGTGTGGTGCACCAACCTCCCAAGTTCGGCGGGGGCCTTCGCACGACATGGCGGGCTTTCATGACAGGGACAGGGCCCTGTTCCCGATCCGGAGCATCTCCGCGATCGTTCAGATCTTCAAGAATCAGCTGGAGAACAGCGCCGAGCCGGACCTCGCGCTCCTCTCGATCCTCATCGGCGCCGTCGAGAACTCCCTGACGTGCAATCGCGTCTTCACGCCCCAGGAGAACGCCGTCTACGACGAGCCGAAGCTGCCGCCCGTCGAGTACCACATCGCCGAGGCGCTGTACACCAAGTTCCACGCGGTGATCAAGGGCGCCGTCGATCTCACCGTGTACGACACCAAGTACGCCACCAGGGAGCTCGTGAAAAAGGTGTCGGACGTGATATGGAACTCCCTCACCAGGAGCTACTACAAGGACCGCGCGCATCTGCAGAGCCTCTACAGTTACCTAACGGCGAACAAGCTCGACTGTTACGGAGTCGCCTTCGCCGTCGTGGCCGGCTGCCAGGTTCTCGGTTTCAAGGACGTGCATCTCGCCATGTCAGAGGATCACGCGTGGGTCGTGTACGGAGAGGATGGCACGCAGACCGCGGAGGTCACATGGCATGGTACGTCGTGCAGAGTGTCGAAGCACTCTTTCCTGCCCCTTTCCGACTTGCGGGAAACCATAGTTTAATAAAGCATCTAATAATAAGATAGATTTTTTGAATATTCATATTTTCTCTTTGGAAACTTTTTGTTGCTCGACACAAAGACCACTTTACACCGAGTAATCTTGAATTTATTTGTATTTGAAATTCTTTTCTTTCTATTGTTACAGTATTCTTAAACTTCTTTGATATACACGAAGTGTCTCAAATGTTCTTTTATTAAATTAGTTCTTTTATTTTCCTGCAGAAAACTTCCTACTTCTGACTTAAATAATCAAGGATAGGAGATAATTGTAATTTATTACTAGGTAAGGGAAACGAGGACAAACGTGGGCAATCGGTGGAGCCTGGTGTAGCGTCTCGATCGTGGTTGTATTTAAATGGCCAAGCGATGGTGTGCAGTCGTGCTTTAGAAGTGGCTACCATAGTATCGGCTATAAATCCTAGTCTGAATGCGACTACCGACGCGGTCGAAGTGGCATTGCTTCAGCAGGAGTTGCTGTGGCTGCTGTACGACCTGGGCCATCTAGCAAAGTATCCAATGGCACTCGGTAACCTGGCTGAGTTGGAAGAGGCTGCGCCTACGCCTGGAAGGCCACCGTCTATAGACCTCTTTCAGGTTTGTGATACTATAATATATAAAAATATTAAATAACAATACTGCAGGGGGTTTAGGCATGTACACAATTCTTCTGAACTCACAATGTTTTTGTAGGAAGCCGTTAGGTCAGCAAGGAAATACTATGGAAACGCGCATGTTTATCCTTACACCTATCAAGGTGGATATCTATATCGGCATGGATTACACGTCAACGCGTTTGCGTCGTGGGCCGACGCCGCGGATGTTTTACGGAAGTAAGTATCTGCACGCGTAAGATTTTTTTCTCTTTCCAATCTTTTTTTTTTTATACACAATGAGTTCGCTGAAACTCGCGCGTACCTTTGGACGGTGGCAGTGAATATGTTAAAACGCTTCATTGATATGCGGTTCGTCGGCGGGTGAGTAATAGATTTCTATGCGCGACAGATATGATTATTCGCGGGACGACGGGGAGATATACAAGGAATTGCTGGAGATCGCCAACGAATTGATACCGCACGCGGTGCGGGTCGACGAGCGCTTACTGAGGCAGCCACGTTGCTTCGCGTACCTGCTAAGGTTCTACGACGGTATCTGCCAGTGGGAGGAGGACGCGAACACGCCCGTGCTGCACATAGGCTGGGCCCGGCCGCTGGTGAACACGATCTCGAAGTTCGACGCCAGTATACGCGCCCAGGTCGTCATAGAGTGCTACGAGACGGAGGTCAAGCAGAAGGAGGAGACCGCCCAGAAGAGGGAGACGAGTCCCGAGGAGACTCTGAACAACAACAACAACAATTACTGCAAGACCAAGGAGAGGGGGAACGCGGCGCGGGATCTGATCAAGAGCCTAGAGTCCAAAGTGCCCTCCAATTCGGCGTCGACGCATCCCAGTATTCAAGCTCTAACGGCGGCCTGCAGTGAGAAGATACTTAACAGAGATTACCTGCTACAGGGCGGCGGCGAGCCGTTCGTCGCGCCGCCGGACAACGCCCTACCGCCGCCGGCGGCGCCCTCGACCTCCAAGGAGAAGCCCGTCGTCAAGCCCGAGGTGCAGCAGGCCGACTCCGAGAACGAGAGGCCGAGGATAACGCTGTACAGCCAGAAGATGAAGGGCCTCAAGGACCTGCTGCTCGCGGAGAAGCTCAACACCCACGCGATCTCGTTGCAGCTCACGGCGCAGAGCCAGGTGCAAATCGGTAAGAAGTCGCGCGGCGGCGACGAGGTGGGAGTCAGTCAGCGTCCCAAGAGGACGCGCCGGGAATAGTATAAGATCCTCGACCGACGTTTCGGTATAGTGAAGTATTGAAAAGTGCCACCACACACTTCTCGAAGATCAACCACTCTCCGCTCGGCGCGGGAGAGCGCGCGAGCGGCCGGCTGTCCGGCACGGCCTGCGCAAACCAGTCATTAAGGTATACCGATTTCCTCGCTCTCGGTGTCCCCCGCCGATAAATCCCGCGACGCGGATCCTCCTCGGCTGGAACTCCTCCTCCGGAATCTCGACTCGAGAGCGTCGTGATGAATTTCGTGCCGTTTTGATTTGAATTGAAGCCCTCCACGGTGCTCCTCTCGTTTTGCAACGACGCCGCGGGTCCTTGCGAGACAACGTTTTACGTTACCGTCGGGGATATATTGCCGTTAGTATATATAGAGTATAAAAGTAGATTCGGAGAGAGAGAGAAAGAGAGAGAGAGAGAGAGAAAATTGTAGAAAAGTACAAAAAAGTTTTCCCCACTTTTTAAGTTAAATAGACGGAATCGCGAGAGTCCGCCCCCCCCCCCCGGTTGTCTCGGTGATTGTCAACTCGTGACTCGAGTATTTTCATGTGTAAATATCTCTCTTGATTCTTCCACAGTGCGTATCGAGCTGTGACTTGCGGTAATAAAAGGGGGAGGGGAAAAAAAAAGAGAGTGGAAAGAAAAAGAATCGAATATTGTACCTAATCTATCTCCGCGGGTAGACCGATCCTTTTTTGGAGCACAGTTATTTATTCTACGAATTATACAATTTTGCCGACGACACCGCCGGGCGGACGCGCGCCGGACGGTGTCGTCACTTTGTCATACGTATTATATGTATAATCTCTTGTTGCACTCTTATTTATTGATTCACGTTTTTTCTATTTGAGCTATTGCACTATTGATAATTGCGATTGACAAGTTGCCGTTAATGTTTTTTACACTTGGTAGTTGAACTTTTGTTAGAGTTACGCTTCTACGATCTAGTAAGGGAAACACATTCCACTCCGCATGTGGTGCAAACTAATTAAGTTCTTACCTTAAGGTAATTTTTAAGCATAAAAATTCTCGCTTATTTTTATAACTATTTATTTTCGGAATAACTCTAAGTATCTCTATACATTGTATCTGTAAGACTTCTCTATTTTACTGTTTGTCGATAGGGGCGGAATGAGCGTCCGATGACAGTTCGTCATCCTGATCCTTTGAATCTGAATCATCTGGCGCGCGAGACGACGTTCGCGTTTTACCGCGAAAGAGACGCCCACGCTTTAACGTCGTCGCAAATCGCGCGTGTCAAAATAATCTCTCTTCCGTCTCGATGCAGAAACGCGTTTACTTGTCCGGACTGACGAGACACGCAGAACTGTCCGTGGCGCCTTCATTCGCGCGTTTTAGAGATTCGTATTCGTTTTTGTCTCTCGTTCTTTTTTTTTTTTAATCCGTCGTCGGAAGGAAAAGAAAAAGAAAAAAAAAACAGAATGGCGACCCTCACGGTCGCACTTGCGTTGTGACTATGATCATCGTTTAGTTAATCGTCGACCCACGCGCGCAGAACCGCGGTAGTCCACGCTTCTCCGGCTGTTAATCGCCTTCAATCAGACGCGGCTCTACGATCCACCGTACGATTTTTAATCAATACTCTCTCCCGACTTTCGCCAGGTGATCGATTATCTCCCCCCCCCCCCGTCGCCTGTCCGTAGTACGTAAAAAAAAAAAACTCGCTGCATTCGCATGCCGGACGCATGCCGGGATTCTTTGACGATGTTTAAAGCGGATTGTTGTAGAGTATGTTGTTGACAGGAATGAAAATATAATGTCCGAGCTGATCGACGATAACTTAATAATGAAGGGCGCTATCTTACTGTGATGCTGAATATATATATATAACTATATTATATTATATATATAAAACAAAGTATATATATATATATATAAATATAAATATTATTATACGATTTAATAACCGTAGTTGATAATGAGCGACGCGATCCCGCGAGCGCCGTGTCGCGACTATAAAAAAACTAATTAAACGGATCGTAGTATTAACTTTAATCAAGGAACGTGGAATACCGATATCGCAATGACAGTCCGTCGCCTGTGGCGTGCGCGCGTATCAAAATTCACGCAAGATTCTTCTGCGGAAGGAAACGATGTTGTACATCGACGAACGTTTTCGTTTAATTTCTGTTACCGCCTCTCTTTCTTTTTGTATGAAATTTAATGTTCTGCTGTTAGCGTTGTCTTCTCTCGATCGCGCACCGTCGTGCGTCTCTCTTGGCGCGCTCACCGAGTTTCACCGATAGTAGTCTGCCTAATTCCGAGCAGTGATTTAAAAAAAAAAAAAAAAGATCCGAAATGCAAAAGTTATCGAGTTACCGAGACTCACGTAATCATAATCATTATTAATCACCTTTAAGGATATTTGCGAGCTCTCTTTTTCTCGAGAGAGACTTCTTCAGAGCAACCACCTTTTTGATCACTTACATATATATGTCCCATGTACATAATGTACCTTTTGTAATATATTCTATATTACCCATAGTGTAGTCTGCGTGTGCAATCGCTGCTCCGAATTAACCGCGACCGACGTCGGTGCGACCGGTGCTCTGGGACAGAGGAGAGCAAAAAGATTGCGCGCGATTAATACAACTCTTCGGAAACGAGCGCTTCATCCACAGAGATAAGAAAAGTACGAGCCTCTGAGCTCTCGAAATTCGATACATTCGCGATACCTTTTTCTTTTTTTTTTCTTTCACATACACACATACACACTCATTCACACGTATATTCGTACAACACATACTCCCCCTCCCTCCTCCTTACCCTATTCAGTATTTTTTTCCTCGTCCACTGTAACGGAACGTTTAAAGACTACAGGGATTATAATGTGCATAATGGTAGGGATAGTAGGTGAAGATATGGTGCATCAGAACAGTATTTTTGTATTTTAACGGAGGACGCGCCCTCCGATCGACGTATTATCAGTGATGTTTGCGAGCGTAGGAAAGCAGAAATGTAACGGCGACCACGGTTAATTGGCGGACTTTTGTCGTGGAGCATTGATACTTTTATCCGTAGACTTTTCGCGCCCGGCCGGGATATCCGCGGCCTGCATGCCGGCGAGTGTGCGGCGGCCACGTGTGCGAACCAGGCGAAATCTTGCGTGCGGGTGAGAAACGGCGACTCTGAGAAAAATGACGACGACGACGACGACGACGACGGAAGATGAGATCTCGTCGCGCCGAGATTCATCGCCTCTTTGCCAGTTTCACGTCCTCTCGCCTTCGTTCGCAAACGATTGCTCGGAATTGTGACCACACTTGCGCACGGGGTGTCTCGCCATCGCGGCCCGAGTATCGACGTGCTTCTCGACGAGTTTGAAATTGATATTTATTAGCGAAACGCGAGGAATAATTTCATCTGCAGTTTAATCGGGCGAAATTCAGGTCTCTCGGGAATTTAATCTTTGCTATCTTTTGCTTTCCCGCGCGATGATCGCTGCGAAGAAAATACATTTCAAGTTCGTCGAGGCAACGTCTCGTCGCTAAAGATACGAGTTTTGAGAGTGAAGGGTGAGACACCTTGTAGAATGTGGAAAAACTGTACACGGTAGATGGTAGATTAATCTCCGTCTTTTTTGTCTGTGCCCTTCTTACTTCCAACTCCGTGTTTTACCGTAAGTAGAAAGTAGTACTCGCCATACACTTCTCTTCTTTTTCATTTCTTTCTTTTTTTTTTTTAATATACGACTACTCGAAGTTGCCTCGCTTTTTATCGTGAAGATGGTCGGGATGGAACGATCGACTTGTTTACATACGATCATATTTATATGCCAGAGCATATTTTAACTTATTAATTAGGTTTATTTTAGTCAGTGAGAATTTTTATCGCATATTTTAATTTATTAATTAGGTCTGTATTAGTCAGTGAGAATTTTTATTCGCAAAGAAAAAATCCTATAACCGGTTTTTAATTGTTGCAGATAAATAAGTGTTGTAAATAAGCTGTCGATAAAATGAAACTGCAACTGCGAATATATAAAATTTCGCGTATTTTTAAACAATGTAGATGCTCTGCATTTACTTTTACGATTTTTTTGCAGTACGCATAATTTCTCGGTTTTTCCGAACGATTTTATCTACCACGATCTGAATTGTACCTGGAAATGTATTCTCTCTCTGAAAAGTTTTCCGTCTCCGAATGTGAGAACCGAATTCGCTGTCGATCGAATCCATCCGGTATATTTATTTATCTTCGTGTGCCATAAAGCCTGCTTGCTGAACGTGCATGATTCATGCTGCATACTGCGACGACACCGCGTTAGCCGCGCCGCTAACGTTTTCCTTGTATGAATGCTTCATAGAATCGATCAATCATCTCTTCGCCATACGCAACTCGTTCCGCTTGTTTCTATCGTTTCCTTGACACTGGCGCGTACTCAACACACCGAGCCTCTAATGCGAAGCGAGAATCTTAAAATGCGAGTAGTTTTAACTTTACGCGATTAGTGAGAGTCTCCCCGTTGTTCGTATTGCTTTCCACACATATAGGATATCGGCACTTCGGGCTTACACGACGACATGACGAAGCTTCTGAGCTTGAACAGCAGTACAAACATCCGAGGGACGTTGCAAAGACGCTCCAGATCCTTGTAAACCGTCTCCCTGAACGAATCTCCCTCGGATTTTGCACTTGTTCCTACGTATAACATCGGGTTCAACCGGTGTTAGAGAACACAATTGGAAGTCTCAATGGACTCGCGTTCTTGCCGGAAAAACCGACATCTCGTCTGCCCGACTCGTGCTTTATTAATTTCCATGACAGACGGATGACGATGCGATACTTGGCCGATTAAAGAGCTCTTGCAACGAATGAACGACATTGTACGAATCTAAACTCCCGTGCAGACGGCGGCGTTTAAGATTTCATTAAAATTGTTCTCCGACTACTATTGTGTGCGCGACTCTTCTCCCCCGAGCTGTTATACACGTCGACTACCCCTCGCGCCTGTAAGACGCGCTTTGAGAGATTTGTTCGCGCGAACGAACCGGGTTTCGCCCGGAGCTTCGTGATGGAGATGTACTTTCACGCGAGGGCGTGTTAATTAGAGGATATATAGGAAAAAAAAACGCTACTAGAGTAAAACTAAGTCCGAGTGTTTAAAACATCTCTCTACGAGTAATTACACTTGCTAGGCATAACTACTTCTCATGTACTTAAGCGAACAAAAAAAAACCGACGAGGAGCCTCGGTGACGTAAGCGTTACACGCAGAGCTGCGTGAAATATTACTTCACGGTGTTTCGATTATAGACAGTTCAAATATTCCTCTCGCATAATCACTTTCCTCTCAGAAGGCGCAGTTAATCGGGGGCGTCCCTCGGGGGCGCCAAAAAATATACATAGATCTAGAGATTAGAAACGAGCTAATTATTGATACACACACATTTAACGCATAAATAAATAGACAGTGAGGCATGGAGAATGGGCAGTGACGCTCGCAAGAATGGAGTAATATTTTGCTTGTCTCTGGTTTACACCGATAACGAATATAAATCGCGTCGAGATCGACGGCCGGGATTCAGACGCCCGGGCGTTGTGAACACGAGGAGAGAGAGAGAGAGAGAGAGAACGATGGAAGAAAGAGAATACACTGCGCTATTCTTCCGCAATGCGATTAGGATAGACGTATCGCGACAGCAGCAGCCAGTAGCGAGCCGCCGGGATCGCGATGTCGCGCGGCAGTAAGAAGCCGTAATTTCTTATCTTGTAAGGATACAAAATATGCATAATCCGATCCTTCGTAAGTCTGGATTCTGGCCGAATTCTGGCCTAGGTCCGGCGTATTCCGAGTATTAAAAGGACTGTCGCTGCTGCCGGTATCGCGACACGGCGGCGAGCGAGCGTTTTCGCGCGGTCTCAAAATCGAAAGGGAGTGTAATCGCAGCTAATTGTTAAACTGACAGAAACAGTGAGACAGACAGATCTTAAGGCATCATGGAAATGTCTTGTTTTTTTCTGTGGATTACAATAAACTATTTTATTCTAACCAGTTGTAACAATGATCCCCGTGATATCCAATTCCTCCACGCATTCCTTACGTATCGTGCAGAACGCTTGTGTGTTATAGAACATGGAAATGTATTCTCGGTCCTTTCAGAAATTGAGAGGAAATATCATTAAAGTACACATTTCTCTTTATTGATTGACTTACGATCTTCAAGAAACGTCGCTTTCGTACATTACATCGAAATTATGCTGCGTCACTTATTTCAAAGGCAGAACTGGCCGAGAGCGCGTTCCGCTTTAGCGCGCGCGCGCGCGCGACGTTTCAATTAATACTCTACATAGAAGATTAATATAAAAGGCGTAATAAATTACAGAGTTAAAGCGGTCCTTAGTTCGCTAGTAATATTTGGTCATTTGGTCGCTTATGTAAAATCAAACGTTGATGTTGATTTAACGCGTATTGCTATCGTCCTGCACACAGATGGACAATCAGACGCGTACTCTAATTACTTTCGTCGGATGATCTGGACAGATAGATTTGTTGTCAACGCACGAATCCTCGAGTCAAGGGAAACAGTACGATGGTAACTTATACTTTACAATAGAATACTCTAAACGAATTTATATAATACAAAATATCGAAGATCGCGCCGAAAGAGTTGTGGACGATTGTATTGTTTTCTCGCTCACAGTGTTTACGCACCCCACGCACAGTCGCCTCGCGGTTGCCTCCGATTGATCTATCCTACATCCTATACGTTTAAGCGAAGGTCGCGTTAATACTGTACTTTACAAAAGATCGTGCCCCGATCCGAGCGGTCGAGAGAAGGGAACGCGATCGAAGAGTTAAATGCTACCGATTCGAACGTAAAGATAATTCTCGTTTAGCTTGAAGAACATTGATGACACGGATATGCTTTTTCATCTTTGTAAATAACCGCAAATTCTAAATTATTATACTGTGATTATTGATGATCCATCGTTTGAAAGAACCACTCCGTGAAACGCCGGAGTTGCTGCGCGGCCGCGTGATTCTCATCCTTCAGACGGCGGTTCTCGTCCTCCAAGGAGAACCGCAGGTTCTCGGACTCCTGCAGGCGTCGATTCTCGTCGCGCAATCGGCGCACCTCGTCCTCCAACGACTGTCGCAGACGCGTCTCCCTCACCATTCTCAGCTCGAGAGTGGACAGATGAGACTGCAAGTCCGACACGGGATTCCTGCAGAAAGAATACAATGTTCTCACTAACTGTCCAACATCGCGCGCCAAGACGATCGAACGTGTTGTAAAATGCTTACGCGTTCGCGTTGCATCCGTCGATGAGCCTGTCGTCGGACCACTCCGGAGGATGCTGCTTCGTCGACCTGTTGGAATCCGCATGCTGATTCTTCCAACAGTCCACGTTCGCGTCATTGTGAGTCTTCACGTCTTTGATCGGCGTTAGATTATTGTGCTGTTTCATGATTGGGTGAAGCGGTTTCGTGACGCGCGGCGATAATCTAAAAAAAAAAAAATCATTGCGTTATCATTTATTTAGAGAGATTTCACTTTTATCTCATTATTTATGGTATAATTTTTTAAATGATATTTAGGTATCATAAAAAATTGTACCATAAATAATATAATATTTTAATAAAATTTAGTTTTTCGTATAATTAGATATTGAATTTTATAATTTTTCATACCTTTCCTCTTTCGACAACTTGTTCTCGCTCGGTGCCGGACTCGAGGCAGTGCTGGCGTTCGAGATCACCGTCGCTGGCCTGGCCATCGTCAGAATCACTTCCGACCCGTTGTTTCCGTTTTCCTGTCCATTCGCGGGCAACACGCTCAAGGTGGACGTGCTGTTGCCGCACAGATTCTCCCTGGACCTGCACCTGTTCTGGATCTCCAACATATTGTTGTTCATCTTGTTCGAGTTTTGATTCGGGCTCATCACGCTGTTCACGAGATTGTTGTTGACGATCTGGCTGTCGTCGGCGATGTAGTCGGGATTGATCAATCTCATGAGGTCCTCCTGCAGCGTGCTGGACGTTAGGTTCGCGGAATTACGGTGCGAGTTTCTCATACCCGGCTTGGGTCGGGGACTCTGGTTTCTGGAGCTGCCGCTGGACGGGGTGCGATTGCCGCCGCGATGTTTGTTGGCACGTCGCAGTCTGGGCGACACGCTACCCGAGCCGTTCGACAGCTCGTCCTCGCTGGGCATCGTGGCGACCTCCGGACAATTGACGTCCGATATCCTCATTTCCGGCGGCAGACTCGCCGGGAAGTCCTTCGACTGTCGGTACTCCACGCTCACTTTGTGAGGCACCGGTCGCTCCGACATGCTGGTCTTCAGGCAGGTGACCTTCTCGCCTACTTTGAAGTCGTGCGGCATCTCGTATTTCATAGGGTCGCGATTGTGCTCCCCCCCGTTGCCGTCGTTGTTGTGCTTCCTCTCGCTACCGTGTTGACACTCCATCTCGTACTTGGCCAAATCCATGTCGTACTTGCTGTTCCTCCTCTCGTAAATATCCTCCGGATACTCGTAGCCGATTCTCTTGTCGTGAGCTCGCACGTCGTGCTCGTACTTGGCCGGCGGCCGTCCTTCGACCACCTTCTCCTCCTGCATCTCGTACTTTGAGCTCCTGTCCGCCTTCGTGGGCGTCTCGTAGTCGTGCCTGCCGCCGGACTGCTCGTACTCGTACCTGCCGAGATTGTTGTTGCTGCCCGACTTCGGCAGGCTGTAAACGGCGTTGTGCGCCAACGGCAGGGAATTCGACGCGCCGAGCTTCTGATGGCCGTGATGCTGCACGTCGTTCTTGTGCAGCTCCCTCTGAGACGCGTACAGGTTCTCCTGCTTGATCTCGTATCGCTCCTTCTGCAGCTTCACGTAATTCGTCGCTACGTGATCCTGAGCGCGATGCGCGTTGTCCAACTGCCGCTGATAATTCTCGTGTCGCGCGTTCTCCTGGATCATTTTCGACGACACGTAATTGCTCTCCTTCGTGTAATGCTCGTGACTGTGCTCGCGATGCTTCGAGCTGTCCACAAGTTGTTTGGCGCTGACGTAGTGGGTCTTGTCCTTCTTCTGCGCGGACTTGCTGGGTGTCGCGGCTTGGTAGTTCTGTCGCACCGGTAGCGGAGGCGGCGTGCCGTCCGGGCGATGACCGCCGTCCTGATCCTGCGGTTCCAGAAGCTCGTACCTGAAACAAGAAGTACTTTGTTCCCTCCGACTTGTTTACCAAGCGTAAAATGGTTATGTCTATATTAATTTGATAAAGACGAACGCATTATTATTACATGCAGTTAACTCGATTTAATCGAAATTCAACTCGCTTTATCTTCTTCTAATCTAAGAATTAGAAAGAGATAAACGGTAAGTTGAACCGAGATTAAAGTTAATTTGACATTTGTGGAACCGAGCCTTACACGTTCAACGATCGACAGTTCAAAGAGATAGGTTTTTAACGTTATGATGAGTCGTGTAAGGTTAATCACTCACCAACGATCATCGGCACTACTGTGTCCACTACTGCTGCTAGTCATTGTACCCTCCAACGGAAACCGTGGATCGTTGAACGATCTAGAGCTCGATCCAGTACCATACCCGGAGCTGTTGCTCGATCGCGGCGGGCTGAACGATCGGTCATATCGCCGTTGATGCGACATCGCCGTTTGCTGACTCGGTGCGTTATCCGCGCTCGTTACATTCTCGTAATCCCCCTCGTAATTATTCGACAGGTAATGACAGTTTTGCAGCGTGCAGCCTCTGTCGTGCAAAAAAATTTATTTAATATTTTAATTAATTTAATTAATCTAAAAACTAATTTTTACTTAATTTTATCATTCTAATAATTCAATTTAAAAGTTAAAAATTTAATTTTATAAAAGCGACGTATAAAAAAAAAGCATAGGATTAATTAAATCTAATTTTGTGTTCGATTTTTTAATGAAATATAAAAAAAAAACAAAATAAAACCAAGGAAAACCGGGATAAGATAATTCAAGATTCTGTACCTTCGTGGATTTCCGTCGTTGGTCGGCGGTATTACGGTGACGGTGACCTGGACGCTGGTCTTCAATAGATCGACCATCTGATCGTGACTCAAGGTCGACACGGCCACCTTGCAAATCTCGACCAGCCTGGAGGCCTGCCTCAGGCCCGCCTGCCACGACAGCCCCATACTTTCGACCTGCGTCACAACGCCGTCGGGCTGAACGTGGAAGCCCAACTGTCCGAGGCTGTTCCTCTTCAGCGACAGCTCAGAGGCCGGCGCGCCTTGAGTTACGGCACGCAGCCGAGCCACGATTTCCATTAACTCGTCCCTCTCGCCGTAATCACCGCGTACGTGTATGGTAATGCATTCGCCCTGATGATGATACAATCTCAAACTGAAACCGCAAAGCAAAGCAAAAATGTCAGGCCGCAATTAATCGTTCTGATTTCCGATCGTCCGCGAGCGATTTTTACCGCGATGAACTCATCGTGAATAATGCAGTAAGTGGCGGTTGTATATGACTCCAACGAGTGACTTGAAGAAATTATTACGATTAGAAACTGAAGGTCATCATTTTTTTTTATCAATGTTAAAAAGTTAAATTTCAGATTAATAGATACGCGCGGTAATAAATTAACGTGATATGTTTACGAATCCGAGATATTTACCTGTTTGTTTGAGCGTGCCATCCGAGCACGCTCACGCATGGAGTGACGAATACTATCTGCCTGGAGTGCTCCTCGATCAGCACGATGGTGTCTATGCTTATGCCTAAATAACAATCTGTATTCTGATTGCTGTCCTCGAGTATGACTTGCCAGCAAATCGCGCCGCGTTGAGACGCGTCGCACGAAAGTTTCGGTCGCACCGGCGTCTTCTTCTTGCTGCTGAAGGAGAGCATCGCTGTTTCGCAAAAAGAAAAGGAGATTAGAAATCAATTAAATTTAAATTAATGTAATTAAAAATTGCATAAAAATTATCACTGTATCATTATTAAAAATAAGCAGAAAATTTGCTGAAATCTCAACGTACAGAATTTCTGGCCTGTGTCGACGACTGCGGTGGTAGTGCAGTTCGTGGCGAGATCCTTCAGATATTCCTGTCTCGTCCTCGTAGCCATCGTGGCGAATTTTTCGGATCTAGCGAAAGACGCATGTTCGGCTTAATTAATTTTATCGACATACAAAACTTGAGAAAGGAAACAGAGATCAAACAGAGTCTTACCTGTGAGCCGCATTCTCGGCGTTTAAGACCTTCGCCAGGATAAAGTCAGCGAAAGCCTTTCCCTTTGCGAACGTGGCACCCTGCGGAACCGGCGGCCCGAAGATGGGCACTTCTTTGCTCCTGGACACCGCCACGCTGTACTGCGTGTTGTCGGTGCAAGGATTCACGGCTCGCACGATGATAAACACGTGTTGGAACTGGGAGCGTATTCTTCGCGGACTGAATGGCAACGCACCAGGTTCCTGGAGGGGAAAAAAAAAAGAATATTAATTGTAAATTGCGTTACGCGCTGTGTTTAAAATACACGCGAGCGTGAAACCACCTGTTCGAAATATCTAGCCGAACTCGAAGAACCGGTATCGCGGGTAAGTTGCTTCTCGAATTTCTAATGTAAGTGCACGACAGGTATTGCGATCCCGATTAAATATCCGATAGCATGAATCGTACCGGATTGCGTTGTCTCGTTTACTCTCGCACGGGCGGAGCCCGCATAATAAATCTGGCGAGTCGCGAGAGCGCCGTGTGCGTCATACGCCGCACGGTTACGCCGCGCGTATAGTCATCATTACACAATTGCGTAATCGCGCGCAGCCTTAATTTACCGGCGGCGTAATAAAACCGTACCTGAAAAACTATCGTGACTATGTCATTTCCGATGTGCCTCTTCCTCAGCAGCTGCTGCCGGTTGTTAGGCGTGAAGGGTAGCATGGTGGACACGTGAAAGGTGACTTCCGTCCCGCGATGCGTCGCCGCTACCGCGTGCGTACCCGTCGAGTCGGTTCTGGTGTCCAGTCCGGCCTTGTAACCCTCGAATCCTCGCAGTCTTATTCTTTGGCCTGTCATGAAAACATGCAATTAACTCAATTGCCCACCGGCGCACGGCAAAGAATCGGTTCCCCGGTCGCGTCTCGTTACGCGTATTCCCGCTTCAGGACGCGTTTGCGTTTGCACGTCGAGCGGCGAACGTTGTCGATTCTATTTTCTGCGATTTAGCCGCGCACGGTTGTTGCATTGAAAGAATATATTTGTCGGACGTAATTGTGGCTTTTCGAAGGATGTAAACTATAAAGGTCCATCTACAATGAAGAGTAGTAAATCGTAAGCCGTAAGAAATCGACCAATTATAGTCGAATATAAGAAGAATAATTGACTATGATTAGTCAATTTCTTACGGCTTATGACTTACTATACTCTCATTGTAGATGACGTATAAAGTATAGCGAAGAAGCAAAAAACATATACGTTACAATGTTTATATATTAGATGACCTAAATTTATAAGGAAAGAAAAAGAAATATGTTGCAAATCTCTCTCTCTGAGTTTCCCGCTTTCAGAATTACGCATAGGAACGCTGATAATCGCGTCAACGAATTAACGCGAGATAACGATCGGCCCGCGGAAACGACGCGAAACGCAACGTGCGACGCGCACGAAGGAAAAAAAAACAGGACGCGCGTTTCTCTTTTAGAAAGCGACAGTAATCGTTAATGGGAATAACTAAGGCGATCGTAAACGCAACGAAACTTCCACGCGGAGAAGTTCCGTACGTAACGACCGCGAAATTACGCGCGCGTTCGCGGATGATTAGCGTTACAGTGGTACAGTAAGTGAAATCATTCCGGGACATTGAATCGACTAACCGTCGATAAAGAGCGAGTCAAACTACCCGCGAAGCAACCGGTGGATCGCGGTGTAAGATCCACGTGTAAATCGGCCGCTTTATTTTACGGCGTTTACGAGAGAATAATTTTATCGACTTCCGACGCGGGTTCTTCGACTCGCTGCACTGTGTGTTAACTCGTTTGTTAATGCGCACGCGAAAACTTTCTAGCTATGAAAAACCGTGTACCTCCTAACAGATAACAATAAAGTGAAAACTATAAAAAAACAACTTTTTAATATAAATAAAAGCAACAAATGTTCTTATATAATAGGAGGTAGACGCCTAGTATTTGCACTAAAGCATGATACAAATGCAAACCCTACGTTTCGTAAATAAGTTTTATCTTCATTTTTATGTGGCAAAACATTTAATTAATATTATATTTTTCTCTTTTTTTTATTTTATAGAAACATACGCTTTGATCTTTACCTTCAATACTCCTATAATTCAATGTGTAAGTAAAAATTGCAAAAGAACACTACGTACCAATGGTATCCAAGAACTCCAGGAAGGCCGGACCGGCGTGCTGATTGTTGTACATCTCCTCTTCGGTCCTCTGGCCGGTTCGGCAATACAGCACGCCGACTTTGTACTTATTGGACAATCCTTGCTCGTCCAACCTGGCCAGCGCTTCCTCGGCGGCGGGTGTGCCGAGCCTGAGACAGCCCAATTGTACCTCCGGCGCGACCAGCTCCAGGAGTTCCCTGGTGGGCGGCCGGCCTTGCGGCCTGATGCCGAGGGCCTCCTCCGGCACGGTGCCGCGTAGCGTTAGTAGCTCCGACGTGCGCACGATCACGCGGTACTGACTGACGTCCTTGCGGATACTGATGGCCACCGGTCCCAGCTGTTCGTCCATGCCGAACCAGTTCTGATGTTCTCGTCCTGTCGACAGAAATATTCCGTTCTCTTTATATTCCGTGTATGAGACATTTTGCGCGAATAATCGACCGGGTGGAATTTTCTATATTTATGAAAGTTTAATTATTCAGATAAATCAATTTCATATTTTTTACTTTCTTTAAATTAAAATTTGATTTTTAAAAAAAGTTAAATTTCCGTTTATAATGTACGCAGCAGGCAATCACGCAGGAACGAGATGTCTCTTTTGTGTAACGAGGCGAGAATTTTTTATGTAACGCGACAAAAGATTTGCACAACCAGAGGCGCGTTCACTTACCGAGGAAGTATCGCCGATAATAATGGGCCCCCTCGTCGACGCTCTCGATGGGCAGGGGCCGTTTCTGCAGCGGGCAAGTGTTCTTCCACAAAGTCTCGCCGGGCGGCGGCTCCAGGACGGAGACACCGTAAGACAACGACGGTCTGTGAATTCCGTTGCCCTGAGCGCAGCGAGTAAGGCCGACCTCGCGTTCCCCCTCGCCGCCGATCTCGTTGCGGAAGAAGGGACACGGCTCCAGCAAGTCGTTACCTGAAACCCCGTCAGGTGTGAGAACGTCAGCAAGATGCTCTCTTTTTCATTTCTATAACAGCTACCTTTTGTTTCTCCTTAACATCTTACCTTTCCCATCGCCGGCATCCTCCTCGGGAGTCTCGTCGGGCGTGGACGCTCTGAGCGCGCTGGCGGCGGACGCCCCGGTGGCCGTGTTTCTTCTCCTGGCCAAGAGGATCCCGCGGAGCTTCGCGGCGTAGCCCAGATTCGCCGTCAACGACTGGCAGTCGTAATGGGCGAACGCGCGCCTCCGATGCCGCTCCTCCACGTCGGCCGACATCACCGGGCTGGTGCACGTTTCCTCCATCGCTCGCGGCGGTTTACCGCCCCAGAGTCTGTTCAGCTTCAACCGCAGCTTCGGACTGGTGCCGGCGCCGGTCGGACCGCAGACCTCGTCGACGTCGAGCGGCTGGCCGGAACCGTCCTGCTGATGTACGCGGCGCAGATAGTCAGCGGCGACGCCGCCGCGCTGCTCCGACGGCCGAAAGTCCTGCAGTATGGCGAAGAAATTCTCACCGCCCGTGATGGATTGCGCCACTACGTCGATGCTGCCTGCGATGGGAGCAAAATTGGAATGTCTTTACAACTTCGAAGCAGCGCGGCCGACATTTTTCCAAAATTTAACTTTTAGAGGAAAAATACTAATACATCAAGAAAAATTGCTGTGGTATAATAAAAATATATTATCGTAAACGTAGCAACATATTTTTCGTTCTAATATATAATACAGTTAAATAATACAAGAGAAAGTGGATCGATTGTCTCCCATAGAAAATTACCAATTTAGGGTGATTTTCCAGGATTTCAACCGGTCTTTTTAAAATATCAGCAATATTTGAAATATCTGGATTCGCCGTTTTTTTCGCGGGAAAAAAAATATCAGGAAAAAATTCGACTCATACCATGGGAACCATACTCCCTCCTGAGAGGCGTCTCTGGCACCCGGGAGGCAGGATCCGGACTGTGCGGAAGCTCCAGACTGGAATTGGACCTGTGAAGGGCCAATCCACGACCCACGCGGCTCCCCGGCCCTCCGCTGCCGCCGTTCATTGACAGACTCGCGATCATCTCTTCATTCTGTTGACATGGAAGAAGAACGAGAAACGTAAGAAACGAGTAAAGTACGATTAACACGCAGAATATACGCAGCGTTCGCTATTAAATTGTTAAATACGTTCCCTCGCGTTCCAAAGGCAAGAGAGTGGAGTAGTCGCCACGCGGCTCAAGTATAGATAAACTTAAGTGTCTCTAAACAAGCGCAAACTAGGACGACTAATTAGAGTCATCGAGCCTTTCGCGGTTTCGCTTGGCACTTGGCACGTAAACACACGTGCATATACGTGCGTACATAACGCACACGCACATACGCGAGGCAGAGAAGTATACCCGAGGGTACTACATATTCTCGCGACGAGTTCATTCATCCTGCACGAAGTGGCCTCTCGTGCCGCTGGCGACTTTTTCCCTGTCCTTCCCTCTTAATTAAATTGGCCCTTAATTACGAGCAAGGCCAACGAGGACAGTAGAAGCAAGGAGTGGAGGACGATGGACTTAAAAATCGTGGAATGCTAGTTTTCGCCCCCAGTTATCGTCGGTGTTGCTAGATTTCTATAATAGGCTAAAAAATCAGGTTTTTTTTTTTTAATCAGTTATCTATTATTTTGTCAGCCATAGTAAAAAATTATTAGGATATTTTTATTATCTCCGTATCTTTAATTTTAAATAGATAATTTTAATTGACCTCACACTTAAGTTTCCCTCTCCATTTTACATTTATCTTTATATGATCTCATATCGCGGTATATACGTGTCCATTGTGTAGGTTACATAAATTTATTCAACACGCATGAGTTTTTTATATATAATGTATGCTTCAAATTGGTGCGCCCGCGTGAATCGGCAAAAAATTGGAGAACGTGAATTCGCTGCCCTCCAATTGAACTCTCCAAGGGGAGATCACGAGCGGCGCGATCTCCCCTCTGGATTTCTGGCTGGTATTCGGGCTGGCGCCGTCTGGCGCCTTCTCTCCTTCTCTCCTCCACGGGGAAGGGAGCGTTAATTAGCCACGTTCCAGATTCCCAGAGTGTGCACGGCGCTCATTGCAGATCGTCACCCGGCGATGCGGTTACGCGCTCGCGTCGCGTCTACGCGAGAGTGTCACCGGGACGTCGGGCGCACCTGCTGCGCCCGTGACTGCTCGACCGGATCCGCGTTAGCCGTGTACCGTTGACCGTTTCGCCAAACGCGCGTCCGGTGAATGGTCGCTCGCATTGTTACCCCCCCCCTCCTCCCGCCCCGGTCGAGCCTTTACGGATCCGCTGCACACGCGCGCGGGATCGGCGTTGTGTGTCGCGTGACCGCCGCCACCGCTGCTGATACCGCATTATTTCAGTGACACGCACCACGAACGTATCCGGGAACAACGCGTGCAAACGCCGAATGTCCGGCAGCGGCTGTTCGGGTCGTTTTATTTAACCTTGGCAAACGGTTCTCAATGCGCGAGCCGGACCAGATGTCCGGATTCCCATCGGCGCACGGACGGACACAAAGAATACGCGACCTCTTTTTTTTCTCAGACGCCCTCGAATGCCATCGCATACCTGTTCAAGTGATCTTAATTTCGTGCTCATCCGTGATCCAACATTTACATGTATTTTCTTCCGGCTACTGCCTCGCCAAAACTAGAACGCGCGCTTTACATGAAATTTATTCTATCTCTTCTTCCTCTCTTTCCTTCTCAATTAATTTGAAGAAAAAAATTAATTATTTAAATAGCAATTTTTTATTATAATAGTAAGACTGTTTGAATAAAGGCATTTCCTTTTTACGTACGTTTTTAAAATAAAAAAACAAAGGTTTATTCAACAGCTCCGATTCTTTAAAAACTGCAGTCCCAGTTTGTCACGTCGCCACTATGTCGTCAGTCGCGGATGAAAGGTGCGGTCACGGTATTCGACGCTACATCCGTTGTCCCGCGGCTCGCCTCGTAGGTACGCCGGATACCTCACGATACGCGTATAACAATAAGCCGTTTTTTTATTCAGCGCATCGCGCGTCGATCGACATGCCGAACTTCGCCCTCGGCGCGGGATAAAGTGACGAGTGACGGGCCGCGTCGCGAAAAAAAACGGGAGCTCGGAACTCTCTCTCCGGCGGTATTCGGGCGTACCGAGAGGAGAGAGCGTGCCCCGTGATCATCGGGGAACGTCGTTGGCCCCGTTGCATTCCGCGCATTCCGCGCGACCCTCCGCCGCTCCGGCTCTCGCGCTCTCCTCTCGTCACGCCACCGTAGTTTCGTATGCACCGGATGCGCGACGGGTCGACCCCGACGTCCGCCTCTCTAGCCGGGAGAATGCGCACACGTCTCAAATATTGTACCGTCAACCATTCACGGTTGCCACACGTTGGTGAAAATCTAACCGCGTGCATTTCGCGAGGTACCAAGTACGGCGGTGCTGAAACTCGATTTTACCCCTGCTTTTCTCGTTATGTAACTCGACGCTTGTTACATATGTAACTACAGCAAATTCCCATATAATGCGCAGTTTTAGGAGTTTCGCGTTACGGAAATCCACGTTATACAAAACTTATTACCGTCAGAATCCTTATTACATGTTCCTTATTACAGAAAAATAAAAGATTTAATACCATAACGATTCAATATTATTAACAAGAAATTTAATTATAATAAGAAATTATTCTTATGTATTTAAATAAAAAAATAATTTTCTCGAAAGAAAAAAAAACGAAATTATGCGTTCATTTTTTTATTTCAAGTAGTTTTTACGTCAAGTGTAGTGCAGCGCGCAGTTGACTCTGCTTTCGAGTCGTTGACGCGGATTACCATTGTGCCGCTCATTTATTTCGATGTAGATTTATTTTTCGCATTCCCATCTCGAAATGCAATCGCGAAAGGCTCGAGCGTTCATCCGTCTGCGGATTGCATCTTCGAGAGAGAGAGAGAGAGAGAGAGGGGGTAATAATGATGCTCACAGACTCCACGGAGGCGATCGTAGAATACCAGATGCGTCGCTCCTACCTCCCGCCTCGCGCCCTTACACGTACGCGCGCACGCTTGCGTATGCTCGACGACGCGTGGGTGAGGCTTGCGCGGCGTGTACGGGATATAACGTGCAGCAGAAAACGAGTAGCCGCGACCTGCATAATACGGGTCTCTATTTCAAGGTAACGCGCCGCCGCCGCGGTACTATCTCGCGCGCCTACTTCACGCGCGAATTGCGTTTAACGCGGCTCCACAAAGTCGTTCCTTTCAGAGGCTTTCACAGAGACGGGCGATCTTTTTGCCCTCCGCGCCGCGGATACACGGTGTCCTAGAATTGCCGGCGGTCTTACGCGGCGGCGGTTATCTCGCGATCCGAAAGTAAGAGAGTCGCGCGGGTCTCTCGACGCGATATCACGTCCGTATGGAGCGGGGGGGGGGGTCGCATTTAATACATATTAAATTCAATTAAACTCGTCCTCTCGCATTCCGTTTATCCGTCGTTCTTATTTCAACAAGTTTGTTACGAGAGAGACGTCGGTTTTCTTATTTAACATTTTCCCTTTAAATAAACAAAAAGATGCAACGCGAAGCGAACGGACGAGGGGGAGCGCGGAAAAAATGAGCACGACGAGATCCTGCGGGTAGCCGGCAAGGCGCGATAATGGAGAAGAAACTTAAGAACCAATCCCACGGTCAAGCCGAGTTGACTCATCGAGCACTCGGCTCGCCAAGGACAACCGTGTCCGCAAGCCTCGTTCCGCCGGAAGAAAATACTTACGATTCGCTGTAAACAGCCGTGCCGCGATCGTATTGAGCGATAATAATCCGAATCGCACTGACTCAATCGCTGGACTCATCGCCATGGATATATATATATACGCGTACGGATATATCGAGCGTCGTGCGTAAAAGAGGCACGTGTGACGCTCTATACGTGAGTTAACGCAAGTTATCAGTATCAAGAATGACTCCGTACGGAAATATCTGACAATTTTATCAATTTTCCCGAAATATCTTTCGATGTAATAAAAACATGGTCGAAATATAACGATGGCCTCCAAAATTGAGATAATTCATAATTCTTAATTTTCTTTTGCAGTATATATAATTTATATGATTCGTATCATTTTATGAATTAGATTTGAATAGAAAAAAAAGTAAAAATCGACAAATATTTAGAATTGTATTAATTAATATAATTATTACAATTCACATAATTTTATTATAAATAATTACAACATTCTAATAGAGCGAAATAAAAATAAGAGACACACAGACGGCGATGAGAAAGCAAAATGAGCAGCTTCTTATACATTTTTTCACAATTCCACCGGTGTGCTCACCGTCTCGCGTCACGTTGCGCAACGTATGACTGGATTAAGGGATCCGGGCGATGAGTGGACGTTGAAGAGTATCGACATGACGAGCGCTCCGCGTTGCATCAGCGCGCGAACGCGCGTAATCAGGGCTTATGCATTTCGTCTCTCCCTCTCGTCCTGTCGCGTCGCGCCTTTGTCCCGCGCAACAGCTGTCCCCCGTGCGCTTCCTTCACGTGCGATCGACGGCCTTGTACACGGCGCGCACATACGCGGTGATTTATGCGCCGATTCCCGGCGCTCGGACAACGCCGGGTATCGTTGCAAAACGGGAACGAGAGATAGGTGATTAACGCGAAAACAAAAGGCGTCACGCGCTGCAGGTGCAGCAGCGTAATGTAAATGCGCCACGCTGCACCGTGTGTTTATCGGCTTATTATTTATCGCCTCGATTTACATTAATCGAGGTCCCCTCCCACCATTTGGAAAAATGATAAAACGATTGTTCGAGTAACCGCGCGCGAAGTGTTTGTTGCGACACGTGACTGTACGTGCGCATTCTTATCTTCGAGAATCTCTAGCGCCAGCTCTCCTCTCCCCTCCACCCGTGTATATAAAGTAATAAGATCGTAAAGTAAAACGATTTATATTTGTGATGCGCTTTTTATACATCGTCGCTAACCGACACCGCGGGCGCGCCGATTAATGATGCATCCGCGCGCATTTCATGCGCTTCGTCCGCGCGCGAC